AATCTGTTCTGACTCAGTTGATTCGGGGCATGTAGGGATTTTTTTTATGAGGAGAGATTGGGTAAGGGAGGCTTGCACTCATTGGATTAAAGAGGAATGAGCGGGAGACCTTATTGAAACATATAAGATTCTTAGGGCTGGACGGGGTATATATTTCCCCTTGTGGGAGAATTCAAGATCAGGGGTCATGATCTCAGCGACTTTGTGGGATTCTTACCTGCAGAGGGCAGTAACGGTTCAATCATTAGGTGTATTCTAGGCTGAGGTGGGTAGATTTTTAATCAGTAAGGAAATCGGGACGTTATGTGGAAAGTGGAGTTGAGGGTTAACAGATCAGCTATAATCTCATTGAATGGCAGAGCGGATCCAATGGGCTGAATGGCCTACTTCTGCTCCTGCACCTTCTGGTCTTCTGGTTTTTTATGGCTGGGACCTTCCCGTTTTCAATTTGAGTCTAAGAGCAGAGCAGGACAGTTTCCAGAAGAGAAAGCCCACAAAGAAAGCCCACTGGAACTTCTGGTGAGCAGGCAGCTGATTGCTTGGTGGTGAGCTCTGTGACAGCATTCAGACTGTGGACCAGGATGTCCTACCAACCAAAATCAGCGCCTGGCACCTCCAGAAGACCTCAGAGAAGACCATGGCTACTGTTGGACAACAGTCCCGGGGACTTCTGGATTGGAAGATCACCGATGGGAAAGGTAAGTGTTGTTTTGTGGTGGGGGGGTGCAGATCGAAGGGAGGGCTGGGGAATCAGACAGGAGCAATGAGGTGATGGCAGGGCCAAGAGGTGATTGAACGCAAGCCCAGGGGTGGCCTGCCCTCTGCCCTGAATCCATTCCCTCTGACCCTGAGCAGATTTGTTCCTGTTGAGACCACGCTCCCCAACACCTCAACCAACAGTCCTGGCCACATTGGATAACCAGTTGGGCAGGCCAAATCTTTCTTATTCTGCCTGGAGTTGAAATGATTGCAGCCCAAATGGGATGAGGCTGTTAAATGGTCATGAGTTGAGGATATAAGGGCCACAATTCACAGCACGGCAGGAAGGTAAAGTTTAGAATTTCCTGTCTAGAACTTAACTGGAACAACTGGAAGAATGAGTGATTGTTGCTGCCACTATCCTACCTCATTAAGATCATGTCGAACCTCAGCCACAGGTCTCTAAATAGTTTACTCCTCTATCCTATTTTGGCTTTATCAATTTCTCAGCTATCCTGTGCAAATTAAAATTCTCCCTAAGGCTGACCACTCTTTCCAACAACATTATAATCCTCTTCCTTTGATATGACACTATGATTAACTTACCTTGTTCACCAATCTCACATCTGTAGGATGTTATTCCTTAAGGAAATATTTATTTGTTGCAAATAATTCATTAATTCTCTAAAATGCTTGTCACTACCTGTCTACAGTGATATCTTTTTATCATGTTTCTCAATCTACCTTAGCCAACTCACTCCTCATGTCTATGTAATGTTTTTCATTCAGATTGAAGACAATAGCTTCAGGCTGAACTGAATCACTCTTAAAATCGGTATCAGATTGTTGCATGTTATCACTCTTCAGCAGATGCTTATTTATTGCAAGATTATTAATTAAAACCATTTCAATACAAGTGCAGAAAGGCACCAATAGCACAGATTTGATGTGCCTTTTTAACTGTTGTAGTTTATTGAGGGTCTGGGTCCTCACGTTTACCCCATGCTTATGGAGTGGTTACCTCAAGTTACAGATAACCAATTGTCTCTAGAGTCAGAGTCATACAGTACGGAAACAAATCCTTTGGTCCAATGTATCCATGCCAATCGGGTTTTCCAAACTAAATAGTCCCATTTGCCTGTGTTTGGTCCTTGGGTAGTGTTGCAGAACAGAGAAACCTAAAGGTTCAGGTACATAATTCTTTGAAGTTCACATCACATATAGATAGGGTGATTGAGAAGGTATTTAGCATGCTTGCCTTCATCGCTCAAACATTTGAGGATAGGAGTTGGAACATTATGTTGAGCTTGTACAGGACATTGGTGAGGCCACTTCTGGAGTATTGTGTCTAGTTCTGGTCGCCCTATTGCAGAAAGGATATTATTAAGCTGGAGGGGGTTCAGAAGAGAGTTACCAGGATGTTGCTGGGAATGGAGTGTTTGAGAAACAAGGAGAGGCTGGATAGGCTGGGACCTTTTTCACTGGAGCGCAGGAGGTTGAGGAGTGAGCTTACAGAGGTTTATAAAATCATGAGGGGTAGAGGTAAGGTGAATGGTAGGCATCAGGAGGTTCCCATTGAACAACGTACCCACTTGTAGTGCAGTGAGGTGGCACCAGCACCTTGGTGAAGAGCCCCTTTCCTGTGTGCGTGTCAAAATGTTAAGTGTTGGCATGCTATTGGCACACCCAAGGCATCAGCACTGAGGCTGCCTTTGTCCCAATCCCATCTTCACACCAATATATTCCACACAGAGGAAGCTGGATAGTGACTAGGTAATGATGATCTGTGTTGTTTCCCACTTCCTCTACTCCCAGCCCAGAGGACCTGTGGTTATCTGTATTCCCCTGTATGCACGCTCCCCCCAACCCCCCCCAGGCCTTACATCAATGTGGACTGAGACTGGGATCACCTGCACAGTTTCAGTAATCAGTCGACCCAGCGTGAGGAAGTGGGGTTTTAGCAACAGGGTTTGGGAGATTTGGCAGGCTGACACCGCTGGTCTCTCACTACCCCGGCCAGAAGGTAGGGTGGCTGAGGGAATGTGTCCCAGTGGGTTCTCACCGAAAGCCCTCGGAAGCCCAGGCTGTGTGTCCCTTCACAAGAACAGAAGGAGAAAGCAATGGGGGAGGTCCACTTGATGTTCACCCAGTTCATTGTGAAAAGGCTGATGGAGGGGGGCGTCAGTGAAGGAGAGAGATCCAGAATACCATCTCAAATTCCATGGGATGGAAGTCATAGTGAGGAGAGTAGTTCAAGGCAAATAAATAGAAAGAAGTGATCATGTTACAGAAGCATATCCAGATCTAAGAGGACCTGTTGTGCCCTTCAACCAGCTCTTGACAATCAATAGCTCAACCTTATCCACCGTCTGTCTCAGTTGTACGTGCTGGGACCAAATGCCCCCAGTTTCTATTGTGTCTTGTTCTGTCCATCCCCAGGTACACCAGGGCATTTCCACCACACATTCCAAAGTGTAGACAAAGAGTCACAAGAGAACAAAATAGAAATCAGGCAACACAGGGAGTTGATCTCATTGTGAAAAACCGCCTGAAACTGCACAGTGACAGTGAATCATCGAAACTCCAACACAGAAAGAGACCATTTGGACCACAGTACCTGTGCTAGCTCTCTCTATCTAGTTAGTTTATCCTGCACACCTCTTCCACCCATTATTCCTCCCCCTGGCCCTGCAATATTGTCCTTTTCAAATATTTATCCAATTTCCTTCTGCCAGTCCCTATTGGATCTGCTTCTAACACCCAGACAGCACCTTTTAGGCCATAACTGCCTGATAAAAAATCTTCTCCTCACCTCCCTTCTGCTTTGATTGCCAGTTTGTGTCCTGTAACTCCTGCCAGTAGAACCAATTTCTCCTCTTCTACATTGTCAAAACTCTTCACATCACAGTTAGTTTGTAAAGAAAAGAAAAATGCACATTTGGCCTTACAGGGACTCATGTTCGAACTATTAATTGCACGATCAAAACAGTGACCACAGTAAGTGTAAAATGAAGCTTGTCTCAACATGTTGAGAAAAATCTCAGTAATAGGAAAACCTGTGTCTAATATACCAGGGCTACAAATCACCTCTTGCCATCATGAACAGTAGAGCTGAATCCTTCCCTGCCAGTGTAATTTAATTTAATGTGGCTCTTTGACTGGCACAGAACCGTCGAAACTCTGCTATGCTTTGAATTCCTCAGTGCTATTTGGAAAGTTATATTCGGGACGTATCAAATTATCGGTGATATTATTGCCTAATGTCACAGAATGAATTTGTATATCCATTCTCCCTCAAAGCACGAGGGAATGCCAGACAATGAAAGGGTTCCCAGGGTTTATCACTCGTTACAAAGCCCCCACACTAAGGAATGTGCTCATTCTAAATCCGAATGCATTTGGGGCTGTGGGGGAATTCTATCCTGTTGTGGGTATGGTTTTCATTCAGGTCAAATTAAGCTGCCCATGGTATCAGATTTCAATGTGGTGGTGGGGTGGGTGGGTGGGGGGGAAATGATTGGACTACACAGTTACACTCACTATGTGATCAGCAGCAATGCCAGCCCAAGGGATACAAAATAGTGGAAAAATAACCCCAAGATTTTCTTTGCCCCTTTCGTGAGGGCTAAAGGTGCAGTGTCTATTTTGTCCAAGGAAACTGATAAGTTGATGAAATGTTCTCCAGGCAGAGAGACAGTTTAGATAACGTCGCCCAGAAGCCACAATCGGAAGTTGAAACTGTTCAGAGATTCAAACTGTGCTCTCGCATTCTTTGACTGCAGTGCGATTTATGGGCAACTAGGACGGACGGATTTTAGCAACTGTAGCTACGTCGCAAACAACTTCAGCGGTCTGGGCTGTAAAATCTGGGCCACACCCAAAAGCAGCCCATTTGCGAGATTAATGTTTGGGGAAGGGGAGAGTGGGTGGGGGGGGGGGGGGGGGGGGGGGGGGGTTGGTGGTGGTGGGGTGGTGGAAGGGACAGACTGCGTCCAGTCCAAACTAAACATGGCAAGCATTGAGTGAAGGGAGATGCACCTCATAAAACTTTCATCTGACTCCGCATGTTGCAACAAGTAATGTAAAGAAGTGTCATACTCAAAAAATAGCATTTCAGGAACACTCCAGGGACAAATAGCAGACTTTTGTTGCAAACATTCAAGAGGGGGGGGTTCAGCTAAAAGGTCTGCCGTCTCCATCCCAACCTCCCACCAGTAACACCCACCCCCCACCGCCACCCCTCTCCCCCGACTCCCCACAACTGTTCTGTCGGGAGAACAGATAAAGTACTTTCTCGTTACCTGTAAAAGGTTGAAGGGGGAGCCTCCCTCAAGCCAAAACTGCTGCAGCTGCTCTGTTCATTCTCTACATAGTAGGGGACCTGCTGCCCATGAGCCACAAAGGACGAGAGCTGGGGCGCAGTCTGCAAAAAGACCAGCGGGCTCGGAGAAATGCTGTTGAGGGAGTGGAGCCCCCCGATGTTGCTGGAGCCATGCGAGTCACTGGAGGTTGTGTAGCCGAGACCAGCTGGGTTGTACAGGGTAGCCGCTGCAGCAAACTCGTAGCCGCTTTCTGGGTAGTTCATTGCTCCGGCTCGGTTTTTTTCCACATAGATTTCATTCAGAGGTCCATCGCCACTTATAGGTAACTGCAGAGTTTGCCTGCCAAAAGTGTCCAAGTCACTAGCCTGAATCTTCTGCAGCAAAGCAATCGCAGGTGATTTGTGATGGAGTGGAATTGCCATGACCAGCATCCAGAGAAAGTGGGGGGGGTGTGGGGGGTGGGAGAGCAAAACCAAAGCCAACACAGTTCTCAGTGTCACAGTCTGACACTGTCGCCTGGAGGATCGCACTTCATATCAGTTGACCAACCTACAAGGGAGAGAAAATCGCACTGTCAGAGGAGGACGAGTACTACAGCGCACACTACTGATGACAGCGCTTCACCCACACACTGACTGCACTGCGTGAAGAGGAGGAGGAGGAGGATACGAGTGAGAGAGTGCAGGGAGAACGACAGAATCAAACTTCAAACCCAAGTCTTTCACATCTGAGCTAATAAGCATTACAAAGGTGTTGGCAGCCAGCCAGAAATCAAAAGGCTGTTTTACACTGGCACTAGTGTAATGTTCCACCGCAGGCACACACACTGTTAAAGTGACATTGAATTGATGTTCCACCAAACATTAAAGACTCTATTACGTGTGTGCCTTTCTACGCTTTTGTAGCTACAGTGGCAACTTTCCTTTGGGGGTTTCCCCCCCTTTATGGTCTCCTCACCTGCAAAGCCGAGAGATTTCGAAGCCAGGAAAGGTCCCAGAAATCTAAACCCGCTTAATCGTCTGATCACTCACACACCCATCTACTCTCCCTTAAGTTTCTCCACTCTCGGCTGCCTCCTGACTCAAGCAACCCCATACATTCGGAGCACCTCCTCTACGTTTGGAACTGTAAGCCAAGAGCTTGAACCAATTAGAAGTCATATCCAAACAGTGCTATTTTCAGTTTGCGCCTATGACAAATTGGAACAACCTGGGCTAATGTGTTAACGAAGTGTTGAATAGTTTTCTGGAGCTCTTCCCACTTCTTCAACCTCTCTACCTGAGTCTTTCTCTGCCGCTGCTGCTATGAATTATTTCTATTCATGGTGTAATGTCTGGCTGGGTCTTAAATCTGGACTTTTAAAAGGATGATTTCTTAACGATAAAAACGTCAATAAACATACAACAGAGGGGAAAAGAAAATCAGTTGAAAGGATCTGAACCTCTTTTCAATCTGTAGCCAAACTGACAGCCAGCTGGTGTCACATCAGGGTCTGGCGAAGAACAGGCCCACCTTAACTGAGCTTCATCGAAGAGGGAGCGTTTCTACGCTGCTAGAAATGGAAGCACCTGTACTCGAACACAACTGTTTTCCATCCCTTATCCTGGTCAAAATTCATTACCTGTGTTGCCATTCTGAGGTAAAGATGTGGGTGCTGGTGTGGAGTTGAGGGCCAAAATTCCAAATCAATCTTCCTTTCATACAGCGCAGAAACAGAGCCTTAAACCCAACTTGCCCACCAGGAAGTCAAGTGTGCTTTATGTCAACCGATGTTATTGGATGAGGAGTGATGGGCAGCACCTAAGCTGTCAGTAGAGAAGAGGGTTCGGTGGCGAGGTGTTCAATTGGGAAGCTTGCTTTGGTAAAATGAAGTCCCAGAAGAACATAGCTCATCAGCGAGAAGCACCACTGACTTGTTTTAACATGGTGGCTTTGACACAGTTAATCGAGCCGTGTCACAGGAGTGTTCTCAGATAAGATTTGACAAGAGGTAATGGGGTATTCAAATGGGTTACCATTTTCATACACAAAGGTCTAGGCTTTCAGGAGTGCTATCATGGAGGAGAGAGCAAACTAGAGAGGTGGAAAGATTTCAGGAAGAAATTCTAGAGTTTAGGAACTAGGCAGGACCACTAACAGTGCAAAGAAGGGACTAGGGAATATGTAAGGGATCAGATTGGAGGGTCACAGAGCTCTCTGCAGATTGTATAATTGGAAGAGATTACAGAGATAGTGATAGACAAGGCCCTGGAAGAATAGGGATAGGCCCTTTAAAATTGAGCTCATCAAGCGCAGAGGTGGTAGGTAAAGAACATACAGAGGCTGAAATTTTTGGGAATAGCAAGTGCCAGATTGAAATTCCTGGGAATAGAATGTGCCAGATTGGAGACAGAAAGAATCAGTCTCTTACTGATTGGTGAATACGGCTGCTCCCAAAGCCATGCCCTTTCATTAATGAATGAGAAGTCAGAAAGCAGCCAGGGTTTTGTTTGTTAAGGCAGAGAAAAGCATCGATATTCGCATTAATCCTCTCAGCAACCCCCACACAGGCAGCCAATAAGTCATTTTTGAAATATAATCACTATAATTGTTTTTGCAAATGTAGCAACCAAAATTACGCGCAGTAAGATCTCTCATTCAAGAAATGACTGGTGAATCTGATTTAGTGGTGTCATCTGAGTGATTAACTCTGAGTGACACAACTCATTGTGCCATGGAATCTATTAAATTCACCTTAACCTTTGGTGCCTCGTTCAAAAACCTTGGTACTTTCAACACTTCTATATCCTCTGGGCTGTAGTCCATTCAGGCCTCTGGAGTGAGAATTGAACCTACAGCCTTAGGATTCCAAGAAAGTGTACTACACACAAGGCCAAAGCTGGAGTTACAAATGAGACACTTGTACAGCTGCTTAGTCAGACTGAAAATGAATTTAGCCCTGCTCTGTTCTGGTATTGTTGAGCTCAGTGATCTGGAAATTTTGAAATATTAGCACAGGCGAATCTCTCATACATCTTGTTGCTTATCCAGAAATGGCACTGTGCCTCAGCCTGAGGAGCAGAAGGTACAGAACAATCAATGTGTTAACAAGTCAGTGGTACTGCTGGAGGAGCCAACAGCTAATGGCAAATATTTCGATTTTTGTGAAGGGAATGTGAGCAGGTAAAGTTCAGGGATTTATTGCAGTGGAAAGATGAAGAGGTTTGACACAAAGATGCACCAAAAGTATTGACTTTTGACCTTTTATCGTAGAAATTCTGCGACTCTTTGGAGGATGGAGCCCGCTATTCTCCATTGTCATCCAGCGACTGCTGCCAAATCTTCACTCGTTTGCTTTTGTTACACTGAGCAGGTGAAGGATCATTCTGATTATTTTTGGAACAAATGAGGCCTTTTTTAATGCATAATTTATCAATAGCAGACCGCAAGATGTAGCGAGGGTACTTGTGAATATTCTGTGAAACTGAGCGATGGGCTGCTCACCCCGCAGGAGATCAAAAAAACAGAAAGTGCGCAAAATAGGAAACAAATTGGCCAGCATTTGGTACAGACCTCGCTGTCAGTGCTGTACTGTTAGACCCTTAAGCTGTAGGCTTATAGAGGCACTGGGGACGGTACATGCAGAGAGGCTATCCTTATTAAATTCAACTTTTAACCAGAAGAGAGAAAGTTTAGAGATTGAGACAAATAACATAACTGCAATTAAGGGCAACTAAATAAACCCATGATTGTGAGAAAATGGTAAGAAGGATATGTGAGATGACAGGAGGTGGGAGGACATACAAATGCAGGCTAAATAATGGTGCCGAACTGTTAGACTAGGGCTTCCCAAAGCAGGGATCCAGGCCTCAAATGGGGTTGCAAATTGAAATTCTGGACTGGCAAACACCAAGGCAGCAATAGTTGAACCTCTCCCTGCTAACCTCACCCGCCCCATCCATTCTCCCACATCCCGGCCCTTCTCCATTCTTACTGAATGAGAAGTTTCAAGCCTCAAAATGGGGCAAGATTTGGGAAGCGCTGTGCTAGATTCTATGGCCTGTTGCTGTGCTAGAAATCCTATGGGATGAGATTATCCAGGCCACAAAATGATGGGAAAATCGAGTGAGATCAGAAGTAATAATATTCTTTATGTCATGAGCAAAACGTCCCATTTTCCAACCAAGTGCTAAACAGCAAGAAAAGAATCTCACTAGTGCAACAAGGGGCCTACTGGTGTACATTATTAGTCTCATTATTTGCCAATCCCGCCTCATTGATAGGCAGGTTTCTATCCCCCCAGCAGTTGGATAGGAACTGGACCAGCACAATTCCTGTCATAAAAACCAGAGCAGTTACCTCATAGCTCACAGCTTGTTCCTCTGACCCCCCCATCTTGGACCCTAACATCTCAGGGATGCTTCATGGACAATGACCACATGCACCCTACCCTCTCTGAAAACATTGACATTGGACAGTTTCAAGCATCCCTGATCTCCCATGGACCTCGCTGTCCCACTTACAAAACGATCCTCCACCTCAATGCTGCACTTTAGAATGCATCGACACCTTTCATTGTAATACCGCTGCGAGGACACTTTGTGTGCAGGGACAGACCCTCAACACACGCATTGGACCATAGGCTCATTGCTTGCTCTGTTAGTTCTCACTCACTTTGCACCAGTTTACAGGGACCTTTTGACCACCGTCCCAGACTAATTTTTTTCTTTACCGGCTATGTGCTCGATCCCCCGGGCACACCCCAAACTTTCTGATCAGCAGAAAGAAATATGGCTGGGTTTCTACAGGCTGGGCATTAGTCTGAAGCCTGGCAGGTGCCTCCAAGCTTCATTGAAATGCCAGCACTGGGCCTGGATTGACTCCAGACACTGAACCAGTTGGATGTGTTACAAAAGACCCAGAACATTCCTCGCCTTGTCAGCACCACACCCTTTATGTAATGGATCTGCAACTGCTCTTTGATTTGGGAAATGGCTTTGCAGCTCAGAGCAAGTGCACTAGGGGTTATCAGCTCGGCTACCCCTCGAAGTTCATCAATGACTTCCCTTCTCCAATCATTCCAACCCATTCCTCATTTTGCTCCAATTTCATCAACTGAATTACAACAATGATTGAAGAAATTGGAGAAAAGCTCATTTCCTTTAATAATTCCTCCGCTGGCTTTCATCTCTGAAGGCTCTGATTTGCTCTTTGAAGTTTGGAAATGTGTTAATTATCTTGGTGAACTTCAAGCAATTTCTTTACAGTTTAAGTTCATTCTGAAGTTGACAAACAGCAGCAGAGTTTTTGAATAAAACAGAGGCCAAATGAGGAAATTGCTCAGAATTTGAAAGCACAGAAGTGGGCCATTCAGCCCATTTGTTCCTGCTTCATACAAGCTTCCTCCTAGACCGCCAGAATATCATACAATTCCATTCTTTCACACGCACTTACCTGCACTCACCTAGCTTACAAACGTGACAAAGAACAATACAGCACAGGTACAGGCCCTTCAGCCCTCCATACCTGCTCTGACACATTTTGCCCTTCCATATTAAAACTGTCTTCACTTACAGGATCCATATCCCTCTGTTCATTATTTATCCAGGTGTTTCTCGAACACTGTTGTTGTGTCTGTTTCCACCATCTCCTCTGGTGGCATGTTCCAGGCACTCACCAGCCTGTGGGGGAAAACCTGCCTCACCTATCTCTTTTAATCATTCCAACCCCCCCTCACCCCCTGCCAAATCTTGAACCCGTGTCTCCTAGTAATTGACCTCTCTATCTTGGGATAAAGCCTCATACTTTCCACTCTATCTATGCCATTCACAATCTTATAAATTTCCATCAGGTCACCCCTCAGCCTCCTGCATTCCAATGAAAACAAACCCAGTCTGTCCAATCTTTCTCCATAGCTAAACTCTACCCATACCAGGCAACATCCTGATAAACCTATTCTCTCCAAAGCATCCACATCCTTCTGGTAGTGTGGTGACCAGAACTGTATGCAACATTCTAAGTGTTAGCCTAACTAAAGTTCTGTTGAGTTGCAGCAGCAAAGATGGCATCATCC